ATCTATATTGGTAGGATTATGAACTGAGCTACCATTATAATTTATTGAGATTGGCACGCACTTAGAAATTTCCTTGCTAACACATGTTGCAAAATGAATCGGAGCAGAGAGCGAAGTAGTATCTGGGCATCTTATTGAGTGTATATTATGGTAATCATCAATATTATATACAAAAAAGCTGTTATTCTAATGTTAAATATATTAAAAATATTAATATTTCAGGGAATTATTATTCAAACTACAATGAAATAAACATTGCGATAAAAATTACTTTTTCAGCAAAATAATCTCGAATTTTTTTTGGATACTCTTTGGTTATTTTTTTTTTATAGTTGTCAACAGTTTTATAACAAACTGAAATTCCAGCATTGTGCATTGTATTAATTGCATCACATGATGCGCCCGATGCCGCGAGAAATAATCTGACTTCCAAAGTATAATTATTTACGAACTTATTGCGTATGCCTGCTATTGAATAACATATATTAATTACTTTTTTTTTATCCTCTTTTTTATTATATACGGACCGTCTTTCTGGAATGAATGCATTATATAATTCATCTAAAAATCCTCTTAATAATGGCTCTGCGTTTTCGAGCATTGCTTGGAAGTTATCTGGATCTAATTCAAGTAATTGGCCTTCTCTTCTTTGTTTTTCATATAGTACTTTTGTCATCAGTGCAATTTTCTTACCGAAAGATAATGGTTTTCTAATAACTGTATTATCTTGTATGTTAGCAGTAATTAATGCATTAGTATCATTTCGGTTATGCTCTGTGACATGTATATTACTAGTTGATAACTTGTTTTTATCATTATGATCAGGCTCGACGATACTTAGGTAATGAGGATTACACAATTGCATTCCAACTTTTAAGTAATTATATTGATTAAAAGTATCTTTTGCTTTTATTTTTGTTAGTGTATAATCTGTGATTCCGCGATATTGATTTGAAGAGGTTTGGCAATCATGAATAGAACAAGGGCCAAAGTTTTTTTTAGAAAGCATTATATTTATGTTAATGCTGTGACGGGGTGAATTTAACGTTTAAAACTAATTTGGTTAAGAATGATACGATTATGCATTAAGGCAACTTGCCAGAGGCGTGACAATCGTGATTTAGTGTATTAATTATGTTTATTTATTTCAGATTAAACAGAATTAAAGAAATTTTAATAGGATCGTTATGCAGGGTGAGAATTAAGTAATAGAATTTTATTTATTATTATTTATTTTTTATTTATTTAATTATTTTATTATTATTGTCCCGAAGGATCTTCTTCCTATTACCGGTACTAAGGAAAAATGGCACTCTTTTATACACAAACTATCATAAAAGGCTTGGGGTAAATTACAATAACGCCTTCGTTAATCCTGCCAATCTATTCCTTTCGTTCCTTTATCTTTCAGGTTCTCTTTATCCATAATTTCTTCGTGAACCTTCTTCTCTTTGCTTATTGCTAGAATCTTCTAACAATTGCATCTAAGCTTTGTAGATCGTATGCGTAACTTTTTCTTCTTGAAGAATTCGATCGGTGACCCTGTTTCGAAAATCAAGTGATTATACTGCAGTTCTAGTCGATTATCGGAAATATCACTTTTACCCTGTGCCAATACAATATAATAACTAATTGTATTTTTTATTTTCGAAAAATTTATTCTTAGATAAAGTGGATAATTTAATTATGTTGAAAAGAACTTAAAAGGTTTGACAGATAAAATCGGATCTTTTTATATTTTACAGATTATTAAGAGACACAAAAGGCCTATTACTTTACATATCAGAAAGAATTTCTATTTTTCTTTCTAGAACAATATGATCGCTAACTATTTCTTTTTTTTTCCAGCATTAGATTCTTTCTATGCATATTTTTTCTTATGAATTTTCTTAGATTCGTTTCTGCTTATCCATTGATTTTTCTATTGACAATTCCAAGCCTTCAACGATTCTACGGTAATATTATCTTGGAAGTTATGATCTTTGATCACGACACCTTAAATTGTGAAATATACAATACAATCCTTATACTTTTTCTTGTAGCTGTATAGATTTAGGTTTTGATTTTTGAACCTTTTATTTTGAGTAGAGTAAAATCGATATCTGAAAAAATTTTGAAACTACATAATTGTAAGATGTATTCATATAACAAAATAAAATAAAACAAGATTATTTTATAAGATAAAAAATAGTATTAAATATATTATTTATTATAAATATTTATTGTGCAATGATAGTTATTTTTTGATACATCAAGCTATGAATTCTCAATAAAAGCTTTATTATAAAGGATTCTATAACGGTAATATAACTTTTCATAATAATGGTTACATATATTCAAATTATACATGATTTTGCTAAAATATATTGATTACAAAGAACGAATATGCTACAAAAGATTAAATAAAAAATAATAAAAGTAAATTGATATTTTCGTATAAATCCATGAATTTTAGTAAATAGTATTAGTCGATAGTTTGCTATTTTTTTTCTTTAAATATGAAATTATTTTAGCCAATCGGCAACAATATCAAATTTGTGTAACAGATTTTGTAGATCACAAATATTGGCCAATCAAAACAAACTTCCATCATGCTATGCCAGCCTAGGTGGCTTTTATGCAGCATGAGGTGATATGGTTTGAACAAAATTAAGCAGTGCAAAACTGGGGATATCAGAGAGTTTAAATGAGTAACCCCCTAGTTGGGTTATAAGTACAACATCTAGTGTAGAACCTTCAGGCGGACTACTTAAATAGGCACCCAAAAGGTGCATAAATCTAGAAATATACTGCAGTATGTAACAATATAAAATTTAATAATATTTAACATTACTTCTAATAAAGTTCGCCTGTCATAGCAATTCGGCAAAAAAAAAAAAAAAAAAAAATTTTATTTTACTTTCATTTAGATTCATTTCTATTAATCAAATTCTTATAGATTCATCAATCTTTTTATAATAATACTTTCTGTATTATTTTTTATATCTCTTTTTCTTTTGTGATTTTCTACTATATTGATTGCTATATTAGTACTGGTACTTGGGCTATCTTGTAATTTTTCTATTAATTTTTTTTGTGCAGCTTGTTTTATATAAGTTAAAATTTTTATTACATGCCCTAATAGAATATGTTCCTTGATTGAAAGCTTCTTTTGCCTTGATCTTTTTTGACTTCTTCTTACTTGTAGCTATCTATTACATCTTACAATACTGTGATAAATTCAGAATTCTCATACCCAAATATTTTGCTATATTTTTAGTATAAGCAAGCTATACTTTTTATAAATCTCTTGTAATCTAATTGAGGTTTTAATGCAAAGTCTTTAATTGATTCTATCTTTATATTTTTCTTCTCAATTCTTGTATTATTGCTATTAATACAGATTCTATTCAATTCTTTTAAAATATATTCTAATAATAGTAATGTTTGTATTTATAATACATGTTTGTTTATTTGTTTATTTATTTACTCGATCAGCTTTTGGTTTGTTTACTTGTTGTTTACGGGTTTGTTTGTTTTGTTACACAAGAGGATCTGCAGTACAGAGTTTTGTATCGTTGAAAAAGTTCATAAAAGTACTTTTACTTTAATAAGCACTTCTTTAATAACAAAACCTTTCTATATAACTACTACTATTTTGTAATGTTTTATCTTTTACTTTAGACTTATTTTATAAATTTACTACATTAGTTCTCTTAAACTGCAAATTTTGTTTCTGTCTAAATTTGAAACTAAGGATCAGTAGAGAGAGTTGATTTGATGATGAGAATTTTAAGCTAACTAGTTATATATATTATATAATTAAATTAATTAACTAGTTAATTAGTTAGTTAATTAGTTACTAAGCTGTGTAGTTGATATTAATAAATATGTTTTTTTTTCAAAAGTTAAAGTTGATAACATGATTTAAAATATATAAACAAATACAACCATTTATTTGCAATTTTAAATAAATTATTAGTATTTGAGCCAGATAATATACTTGTATTAAAATAACCTATAGAAAGATATAATAAATCATTTGCAAATTTAATTAAAGTATTAAAAAATATATTATAAACACAATTATATGAAGGAATATATATATATGCTATAGAAATTATTGTGGCATAATTTCATTGGTTTACCAATCAATAATTATATAATTTCTGCTATTACTACAGTAATTGTTTAATTGATTCATATAACAATTAGTTAGTTGACAACTAGTTAATAACTAACTATTAATTGTAATCGAATTAGTTGATAAATAAATCGATTAGTTGTTTAAAATTTTCTTAAATCGGTTAGTTGAAAAGTTGGCAATTATCCAATTTTTCAACCAACGATTTGGAACACTACGTGAGATATAAAAGATATTTCACGGTGTGTCATGAACACAATGTATTACCACGGCTCCGCCGTGCTAATCTATCATATTCACAACAGCCCGTGAAATATATAATCCCTGTAAGTAGCAATGGTTATGAGTGGTTTGTTGATTGCTTATCTGTAAAAAACATAGGATATCTTTTGAAACTTGATTTAATTGGGCGATCAACTTGTGACAATAATGAACATAAATCTTATACAGTAATATATACTATGTATAATACTAGGAAAACGGATACCGTTATTGTCCGAAGCCAAGAATAAACATCGGGCTGATCCGTGTCGATCTCTATAGTTGATTGGCTAATAATTGATCACGTGGACGGAACCCAACACAAAATCATGTCCATTGCTCTACCATAGAGTCCTCGCTACGCTTCGGACAATAAAATATTCATGTTTTAATATCAATATTTTAATTCGAGGATTTGAAAATAGTGTTACAATAAGTAAAAATTTAAACAATGCATCCCGTGCACAAGTGTTTTAATAGCCAAATAAGTATAATATTAGAATAAAGATAAAGGTAAGGTTAGGGTAAAATTGCGAGAGGAGCTTTTTTTTTCTTAGTTACTCGACAGAGTTATCCTGGTAAAATTTTGAGATAATAGGGTGTACTAAATGCATGGTCATTGTATAACAAAATCCTTACAATAATGTATACTGTAATATGTAAAACATTAATGTTTAAATATTAACATATTGATATTTTCCATCAATACTAAGAATATTTATTAATTGTGGAAGAGCTTCAACTTGAAAAGGAGCAAAATCTACTTTTTCACCATCTATGCTTATATATCCATCCTTACTGCTTTTTGGAGTTAATCTGAAAGCTTCAACCTTGTAATAATCAATCTAAAAAAGAGAATAGACATTAATTTAAATCATAATATAGTCATCAAAATGTTAATAAAAATTGGATATCAGAAATTTACTTCTTTCATCTTAATATGATTTCCAACTTCCATTTCAGTCATAAAGTTGAATGATTTAATTCTTGACAGTTTATCCCGTCGAGCGACTACCAAGTCTATAAGTCCATCGTTTGGTAAAGCATAAGGAAACGGAATTGTGCCTTTACCTATCCATGGAACTTTACCACCAAGAATTGTAGATACATCATCGGTTAAAATAGTCCAATCATCTGGAATTGGATCGTTTACGGTACCATATTTATTATCGCGGGACATTGGAACACTATTTCTATCTGAATTATATTCTTTTCTATATGTATCCCTAATAATTTCTTTATTAGACTCTGCAATTTTTATGGCAAGTTCACAGCTGTATCGACGACCTTCAAAGATGGCTTTTAGAGCACCAACAATAAAACGTATACTACCCATCCATCTATATAATGATATAACCATTAAAAAATAGTAAAATAAATTACTTAATTATTAATTAAGTACTTACCTTAGATTTTCTGTTCCCAAATCACAATCTGCAATAACGCCATAAGTTTGAGACATAAAAGAAAAGTAGCGTTTGTCACCTTGAGTAATAGAACACATGTCAATTTTCATAGGCACACCTGTGGAATGAAAATTATTAATTAAAGAGAAATAAACAAAATATTAACAAATTTAAATAATTAAATATTAATCTTCTACCCTTAATTATAGTAAGAGCAGAATGTTGAAGACTTTTATAGACAGCTTCTCCTTGTAAGCAAATGTTTAAAGCATTTCCAGAACCTAAAATAACGATAGTAATTAATTAATTGTTATTAAAATCATTCAATTTAACATTCAACACGTTACCTGCAGGAATCACACCAATTGGAATTGTTGCATCATTTATATTTTCACGCACTAAAAGCCCATTTATAATTTCATGAATAATTCCATCTCCGCTAATTCCGACAATGACATCAAAAGGTTTCAAGTCAATTGTTTGCATGATTTCTCTTGCATTATTTATATACTTAGTAACTATAATATGAAATTGAGATTAGATAGTAAGTTTATTCATAAAATTCAGTATTATCATAAGAATGAAATTACTTACTTGTGATATCATACGTGCAACCAGCAGCGTCAAATATAGGTTTGATTTCATTATCAAAAACTTTGCTTGCTTTGCCTGTGCCACTAAAAGGATTAATAAATATTTTTAAATGCTTCGAGGGTTTCGCATCTGTCATGAAGGAGGGTCATTTAATTTATTTGTAATAAATACAAATTATCTAAGAATTTAAAAATAAAAATACTTTTATATACGGCATTTTTAACCGATTTTGTCCACGAAGCAGCGAGTTCCATATCTACTGGAACAAAGTCGAAACTTTTCAAACATAACTTCTTAACTCCGACGAGAGCATGAATAATAACGTTAGTGGAAGTCGATGATTCTAACGTTTTTAAGGAAACGTCGAGAATGTTTCGGGATGGAATGCTGATCAGTTTACCATATTTCGCTGTCAAATTTAAAAATTTTATAATTTAAACAAGATAAAACTAAGGAAAAAAAAGAAAATCAAGATATTTACAATTATTATTGTAAGCTTTTATGGAAGAAATCAGTTTATATGTTCATTTAATAAAAAAATAAAGTAAGTAATTTTTTTCATTTTGCATATTGGTTTTTCGCAATTTTTTAAGCTGTTCATACCAATCGAAAAATTATCATCTTTTAAAGAGAGAGTTACATCTGTATTTCCACTCTTTACTTGTAAAGGTTGAATTTCAGACATTTAAATATAATAATTAATATAGTTAATATAGGAATGATGAAAAAAATGTGAGCAACTAATTTGATTACAAAAAATGCCTTAATAAAAAAAAGTCGTTTTTATAATTTTTATTTTTTTGGTAGTACGATTATCCGCGTGGCAGAAAATATTTATGCATAAATATGTAACTTTAAACCTGTTTTGAGGAACGTCAAAAAGCAACACATGATAGTTTGAGGGATTGGTTGCTTATATAAATAGTTTGATCTTATTATTGGTTTAAAGTCACGCGATTGCACTTCCGATTCCTGTTTTGTGACATTAAATGCATGCTGCCAAGAGAAGGTGCTTGCAGACTGCATTCCACATTCCTATTATTTTCGTAATTTATAAATTATTAGGCCTTCTAGGTTTTAGTGCACCAACGGCCGGGTCGATAGATGGGCTGACCTCAGCCTGCGTCATTGTAGGCCGGGCCGGGTGATAAAGAAGTGCTAGAATTGATTCTCTTCTATAACATATTTCATGCTAAAAATTGACCAGAAAATCGGCTGGTAGTTTGTAACAATGTTGATCTTCATCAGTTGTCTCATTTAGATATACCAATGAAAGCTAGAATTTCTAGAATTCCTTAAAAAGAACTAAATAATTTTAGTATCACAAGGATTTGGAATAGATCTGAAAGATTTTTACTTATTTACTAGAGATACAGACATTTCTTAGGTCAAGGGTAACTACCCATTTACGTCATATAAATACCCAGTTACGGCTATGCCGTATGTTATTTCATGTTCTAATGTCTGCATCTTTATTATTTACAAACCAAAAAAAGGAAATAATTTGTTAACGATTGACGGACAAGTCCACCCAACTGTTGATCTTCGTAGTAGTCGATTTTAGTCTATAGAATTAAAGGTATTAATTTTTTTCTTTATATAGAGGAGTTATAATTATTACGAAATAATTAATTTTAAATAAATTTGTATTTTAGGTGTAAAATGCTATATTCAAAATGGTATAATGTTTTGTGCTTTGGGTTTTAGTCCATCTTTCACACAAACTTTGCCCTATAAAAAGAAAAAGTCAAGTGATCTTTGTAATAATCTTATATAAAAACCATGACTTGTTAATCAACTCAAATCAGAAAAAAAAAGGTTCATAATCTTCTTAAGGTTCTTAAGGATGCATTTTCGTCGCGTTTACCAAACAAGCCATTAGACGAGACCAGGTAGACATTGCAACAGTTTGTTTTGAATGTGTGCAGTGTTGACTCGTATGAATTGCAGCCTTCCTTATCTGCTTGCCTCGGACGTGTCCGTGGAGGATTACAACATTTTTATCGAAAACAAAGAGATAAGTGGATATAAATATACTGTAACAACGGCACTGTATATATAGTTGATGTGCACAAATGAACATGAAGCTATTGTTGCGTTGATGTGCCAGTTTTTCAGTGCTCACAGCCCTATCAGTTCTAATGCTCCAATACAAATACGCGGTCAGCCACGTAAGTGAATTTCTTCCAAATACTTATGTCCTTTCTATAGTTCATGGATCGCCAGCTGGAGACGGTACTCGCATTGCACCGGATTTCGCTGTCTTTCCACATAAAACCTATGTTCTGAATCCTCCAGTTCCCACCCTGGTCCGCTACCCAGCGATATAAGGGTATCATATTAGTATGGCAGGAAATTTTATAACACTTAATGTGATTGATATAGGGAAACTCTTATGCAAGGATAATTTGTGAAATAGCCATGGCCCAAACCTCCTCCAACTTGAAGAACAAATGCAAGCTTTGGATGCGACAATCGTACATACGATCTATTAAACTTTATGATATAATGAATACACGGGCGATGAAGGTATATTATTTGTATCGAAATTTTGTCTTCTAACAAATGTCAAGAGCCGTATAAAAAAAGTTACATAATAACTTATTACAAGATTCACAATATTATTTTATTTATTAATAAGGATGTTAAAACTAATATCGATATTGATACGAATTGGACTTTTAATTAATATGCAGATTGAATATGTCCGCTGACCGTTAAATAAACTAAGTGCGGGATTAGAACATTAGTTGGGAGCTATAGCGATGAGTTGGTGTTTGTTATATGTAAAATTTCATCCCGTCATTTTTTATTAATCCACGAAGGTAGATTTAAACATTAGTTTTCAGTGTTGGCATTTGGACTAATTAAAATAATATGCACAAAATATGGACAGTCTTTTTCAATTGGACATATACATTTGGACTATGTCCAAATTTTTTTTAAAAATATGGACATAGTCCAAATGCCAACACAAGTACCCCTTAAGGCGTTCTGGGGTATGCCCCTGGAAAAAAAAAGCCTACACTGTTAGTTTTCGAGTATTTTCGCTTTCTTTTCTTTTTCTTCGCACGTGATCGGATCTATGCCGTGCTGATCCGGAATACCCAAAGTTGTCTGATTAGCAAATAAGTGGATGCGATCGAAAAATTTGTATGTACGTACGTACTAGCAAGGGTCACTGGCCCGACCTTTTTAGGATAGACTGCTCATGATTTTCTATCAGCCCATATCAGATATAACTATGTAAAAAAGATAGAATTCAAAATTAGAACACTAGCATTAGAGATTATATGTAGAATTTTTTAATTAGTGTACCAAAGGTCAATTTAAACATTAATTTACGAGAATTTTCTTTCGACATGAGTTTGGAATGGTTACGTAACAAAAAGAAACTATCGGAGATTTTTATCCCATCCAAAAGAATAATTATTATTTGGTCTACAGCAGTGTTAGCCGACCTTAAATGATCATATAACCTTTATGACCTGTCATAGGTCAGTTGCCCATAACATATAGTAAGAATTATTATAGTATAAAAAAATTTCTAATATACTGCAGTACTGTATAGCAATATGACCAATATGACCTATGACCAAAAGTTATACAAGGTCAAGAATAAAATGACTTGGGTCATTGGCCAACACTCAAGGTGGCATTGGATCCAATCGTACAAGTAACCAATTAAATTTATTAGGACTATGTCCAATTTGTCCAATAATTTTTTGGACTTCTAGACATTGGACAATGTCCGGCCGGACATATGTTCAATTGTGTCAATTGGACATATGCCCAATTGTCCAATAAAATTTATTGGATAGATTTAATAATATAGAATTTAACTATTGAAAGGTTTCAAACGTTTAAAATTGACGGGCGCATTGGTTTTATGAAGATTTGTTAGAAAACAAATCATGTATATGCGTGTTAATCCCCGAATTAGACCTGACAAAACTCACATGACCTGATGACCATATAGTTTCGTCATTTCGTCAATGACGAACCTTATGGTCGTCAACGGCAAAAATAGTTTATAATCAGGGACGATGGTTTTATGATTCAATGAACCATCAACAAAAGTAAATTATGCGTTTTTAATGTGCGTAATTTTTGACCAATCAAATTTCAAGATCAGGTATAACCAAAAACCAGAAATAACTAACTCGAAATTTTAATTAAGAAACCACCTTCTGCGGCCTAATTAAAAATGTTCCTCGTGAAATTTTACTAACAGAAGCTCTGTTGTCCTAACCCTAACCCTAACTACAACGCTGTTTTATTCTCAGTAAAAATTACAGGGAAAAAAGCCGTCTTCGGAGTATATTGGAACTTGCCTCCAACTTTTTGCTAATTTACGTTGATTAATTTTCTAGGCTCTAGAAAAGCATCCGGTGTACATGCTATCAAAACCTTGAAAATTTCCGATCACGACCGTTACACTTAATGGGTAACACATCTATACGAATGAGCGATTTACCAAAATCGGCAAACACCATATCAGAATGATGGCTACCAAAATTAGCAACCAACTCATAGCGTTATAGTATCTTAGCATCATATTTATCATAGTGATAAGTCATAATATTTACTACTTTTAAAAATAGCCTAGTGATAAAAATAGCTTTACAATAGCAACATATTTTCAGTAGAATAGCCTTCTTGAATGTATAAAAGCACAAGCTTTTCACCTTTTATCTTTAGCGGGTTTTACCCCTCAAAAAACAAATCTTAGAGAGTTTTTTACTCCTCAAAGGTTTTAGACCTAACGGTTTTACCCCCAACAAAAAGCATAAAGCTAACTCACCGTTAGTAACCAAAAGGCCATAACTCAAACAACTTTACGATGGCACTCAAACTCGTAAATTAATGAACAATAGTAACTCTTGACGCCCAACATGCGCAAGAACAATACTTAACGATAATACAAAACACATATTATTATCAAATAATATAAATACCTTCATGTAATAACCAAGAAACGTTAACAACTCAAATATTTAATAACGTTAACAACTCAAACATTTAATAAACTGACCTTTTAAAGTTTAAAATTTTAATCGTGCAATATAATCCTTCTATACAAATAAATTCCTTCAACACATAAATAATAAACAATCCTATAAAGAAAAACCCATAACTAAAAACTGTTGACGCCCACAACAGAATAGCATAGATACTGAGCCTGAAAGACGGCAAGAAGTATAATAAAGTAAAACCTTAAAGAACTTATCCAACTCTGCAAATAAGTAGGACTAGCCAACCTACAACATAAAGCAAGAACACCATTCCACTTGCAATATACTAAATCCATAATAAAGAAAGTAGTAAAAGAAATACAATTGCGCCCAACTGAAAACAAACAACTGTTGGCAAAACAAAAACCATTAAAATAAACTATACTATTAGGACAAAGCGAAACGCATAGACCAGACAGAGCTTAATCAACTCTTGAAACCATAGTGAGATAACTTCGAATCTACCGGATAGATACGAATAATCGAATCTGACACCAAAGTGAAAAATAAGGCTGAAAAGGCTAACACGAAACCTTACTAGTTGAAACTATAGGAATAGCTACCCTAAAAGACAACCACATTGGAACCACCAGACACTACGGACTGAACTATTGACGCAAGCGATAAACAACAATAAATAATTAC